TCGTTAGTAGGTGCCTTCGGATATTAAGGACCTATTAACCTTTCTTAGGGTGTTGAGTTAACCCCTTTACTCTTTGAGTTAACCGTCTTCCTCTGACGCTAAGCTACGGCAGCCCCGCTGCAATTACTGTCAACCACCAAAGCTTCCTCTGCTACATGAAGGCGGCAACTGTGTGGAACGGTTACAATGTAGATACCTTCATTATCAGGGCGATATTCTGCTTTGGCTTTGCAGCTTGTTCCTCAATATTTGCTACAGAGTAACTAGTGTTGACTCCAGACTGATTAACCCTGGTAAATTTGTATCAACACACGAAATATGGTTTGTCGAGAGCCGAGCAGTGATCTCCTCACTGCTCTCGTCAGGTTCGATCATCTTGACCGCTTCCAAGTACCTCTGTCGATTATGTACTTGAGCTCCAGATAGCACCCAACGTGTGTGTCGACAGCATTGAAAGTGATTAATAGTTGTTATCACACGAGACTAATAATACACTTCGTCCATAGAATAAGATTGCAATCGCAAGGGACAAATGCTGTACAATGTAGTAATGATGAAGGCAATCACAGGACCGACCTTGTGCTCTGATCTACTACACACATGTATTTTGCTGTCGTGACCTAATGCGTGACCTGGCCCGTACCTGAAAAAAGGTAACCGCTAAGTTCAGTCCGTATTGAGCATAGTCACATTGCCTGAAAAGTTGCTTCCGTGGTCTTCGCACAAAATGCAGTGGCGCATGGCTACTTTCATTACTTCCTCCGGATACAAACGAAGACTAGGTTGGCATGGCGAGCAAATCACTTGTTCAATCTCCCAAACATCACTTCTATCGGATTCAGGTGTGGGCAGTAAGGTGGAAGACACATCAAAATAGCGCCGCAACGGTCCACGTCATCCAGTCCCCGATACATGTGGATGCGCGCGTTGTCTAGACCGAGGAAGAGGCCAGGGGTTTAAGTGCCTCACTATCTGCCTCACGAACGCCCTGTGAAAGCGTTTATGAGAGAATGTCCCACATGTAGTTTCTCAGGCAACAAATCCACAAACGTCACAAGCTGCCAGGAAGGAAACTCGACTTCCACGCCTGAAAGGAACATGAACAACGACTTTCTTGCCTTTCTTGGACCACACATACCGGCGCATGGTATCCAGGTCGTTTTTCGACGTTTCGTCAAGGAATGGAAGCTGCTCAGGATAGCTGTAGGACGTCTTCAACTTGGCTAGATACGTCTCAACCTCCATTGGCAACACCTCACGGGCACGTCGCTCCTATACCTTTCTAGAAATATTTAGTTGGAAGCGTAGAAGTCTTAACACGCACGTTGCATTCATACCTCACTGCTGCTCGGAGAAACGAGTCTTCAGCTCGGTCAGCAACTCTTCAACGTAGAAGCAAGGGTGCTGCTTCACATAGGTGCCCACGTACGCAACGACGTCCGCAGGGTAAAGAGGACGCGCAGCTCGTTCTTCTGGTGTGACTTGGCCAGTCGTCTTGAACAAGGAATACCTGCGTTTGACAGCACATCCCGATACGCCGAGCAAGCGCCCCATCATTTCACATTAAACCCCGTACGCGTAGTGCAGCGTTACAGCCCGCCACCTCAGGTCGCCGGAGTACATATAGCGGAGATCTCTCTTTCGGGAATGACAGAACGAATTACAGCCATGCACTCTCTATTCCTTATTATTGATGTCTCAATCAGATTTAACCCCCCCCTTTTTTTTGGGGTTTTTTTTTTTTCCACCATTTTTGCTTTTTTTTGTTTTTTTAGGGCTTTTTTTATTTGGCTTTTCCCCCGGTTTTTACAGTATATGCTACTTACGAAAGCAAAGGAATCTCTGTCGTTACACTTTTTTCTCAGAGTTTGCGCACATTTGGAAATGATTGTTAGACGGAATTTGCAGGACATTTGCAGGACATTACCATGTCAAATTTCGAACCAATCACTGACAAGTGTATACATGAATTTAACCCAATGATTAGCTTTGTTTTCGAGCCCTACGATGCAGAGCCGCAACAGAAATCCACGAGAGTTGTCCTTGACGCCGCTTGCGTTTGCGTGCAGTCTGCTCGGGAACCTCGACGCTCTTTGAGCACGCTGCGAAGGTGTTAAGAGCGTCAGCGACACTCTCTCGAGCACGCCACAATCCGGAACGTTTTGCTGCGTCCTCAATCATTCGCATAAGGTAACGCGCATCACTAAGCCGCTATTGGAGGTTTCTGTTAGGCATGTCACGCTCGTCAAGCACTCGCAACGGAGGGGTTTTCTTGCTGGCATTTCCGCACTGCCAAAGCACCCACAGTGCGCTAACCGAGCAGTCTGGGAGATCAAAATCAGCGGGGACACGCCGAAACTTCCCACCCCAAAAGTGCGATGAGTGCATGTAAATGTCGTTTTCGTCCTCTTGAGTATTGGTTTGATGATCTTTTGTGTTTAGCTTTTCCACCAAGGCGGCCACGCCTGCAGATTCCAGGCATCTCTTAAGGGCGTTGTCAAGACCATCAAAGGTTACGATACCTGCTCCGATTGCTCTCTCCTCAATCCTTAACAGTTCCAGTGCGTGCTGTGTCGACGTGCTCAACAGTCTTGAGCGCCACTTCAAGTAGCGTTTTTTATTTCCCGTAGAATTGAGACGTGTGGCGGTACTCCAGTGACATGCAGCCGAGTACTGTCATCGTCAATCCTGTAAATCCTTGGAGACAAATCCAAAAGAAGTGTAGGATGCTGAAATAAAGGGGATCTAGCAACGGGTGTTTTGCATCGAGTTTTGACTGTAAATACGGTGCGTGGTAGACCAGAGAAGCCAAGCAAAATTCGCCCACGAAAGAAAGTTGAGAAGGTAGACCAGGGAATACACAGTGAACCGCCTTCTCGACGACGTCGTCACGTTCACCAAAATGCGGGGGAAGTACGGCGAATTTATGACTATCAGGAGGGAGACCAGACACAGTTCGTCCCACGTGCATATCGCCTGCCGATTCATACCGTAGATACGTATTTTGCACGCCACCTAGCGACCATCCAGCTCTCAAATGTACTGCTGTCGACGACGGGCATGCCGTTGAGCCAGATGCGCAGAACGTCGCGGCTCCTTTCCTCATAGAGTGGGTGCCGAGGTCATCGCCGCTAATACCACGCCGGCGTAGCTCCTCAGCTGTGTTGTCTCGGTCAAATAATCGATGTAGACATTTGCGAATCGCTCATATTGACTGTTCCCAGGAAATAGAATATCACTACCATCGAACGATGAGGTTACCCAAAACATAGCAAAATAGAAAAAAAAAAGCCAGCACTGGACAAATAGATAGGTTCAGCGGATTAGCGTAAATGTGCTTCGGGTCACGGGGCCTGGTACCTTCTTGGTCATTTTTCTGGTGAGCAAAATAAATACAAAGAGCATCTCCGTTCCATTCCATGTGACCGTGACGGATACCGAAAGCATTGGCGGATCTACACATTAGATTCCAGGCGACAACCATTTAGGTACGGGCGAAAATCATATCCTTTGAAGAGTGCGTAATGAGCTGCCCACAGAAGAAACTGTAGAGATCAAACGACAATGGGTCCTTGCCTGTCTTCGTCCGGACTTCACCACGCGCTGCAGCGGTTGCCCTCTCTCGCTTCAATACTTTAAAGTACGTTTGCAACTCTTTCTCCATTGTAGCCGGGATTCCCAGTCCGTAATCCCGGTACAAATTGAAGAGACCCGCTCTGTGCGTGTTTAGCGCGGAGTAGCTGAGACTGCTGCCGTCCGGCTTCTCCAGGGTCAATAGCCACGCTCCAAACTCGTCCGTCTGTAGAGCCTCAAACCGAAGAGGAGGGGTAGTAACATCACAGCCTAGAAGAGGCTTTAGGAGATTTCGCATCTGCTTGATATACAGACCCGTTGTATCACCGAGACGTGCCCCAAATGCCGGGGAAACAAGGTGTGGCCTGTTGATGACAATCCATGCTATGAACCGACCGTATGAGTTCTTGTATACAGCCCGAGAGCGTGCACTAACTGTGTTGCGCTTTATTTCCGTGACCTTCCTCGCGAGACCTTCCCAGTCGACGTCCTCCATCGTTCTGCTTGAAGGAAGAAAATAAGTGTATGAATCTTTGTATGCGTATTCATCTTGACAAATGTCCTGCAAATTGTGAAAATCAGGGATTATTCCCCCACTATAATCAGATTCAGTCTTTGCTCTCGTTGTACCTCTTTCATTTGAAAATTGCAGAACACTTTGTCCTGCAGTAAGGAATCTGATGGGTTCAATGTCCTGCAAATTCTGTAGAATGTGCATTTTTAAACCGGTCGATGTGAGCTCGTATAAGTATACATCAGCTTGTTTAAAACTGGTTAAGTACACACTAAACAATCGGACGTACTTAAGTATACCATTGACATATTTTTTCAGACTATTTTAAAATATTTAAGGATTATATAATATTCGTAAAAGATCGCGACTCTTTAAGATTGTCATCACTCGACGATTGGCACACCATGGGTCAGCTGCAGGGCAAAGCGACGTACCTAAAATCCACGACCTCCTTCCTCAATGGTACGCAGCCACATCTCTTTTCCCTCTCGCCTGTTCTTTCGACCTCAACGCAGTTGCTGTGGGCAGCCTCCGAACGGGATGTGAATAAACTCTGGGAGAGCTTCAACGACGTGGCCGAGGGCTTCGGCCTGAGCCAGGACGAACTAGTGGAAATCTGTCGCTCCATGCAACAGGCGCTTGATATTCATGCGCGCAGTGAGATGGACCAACTCAGTGCCGCGCTCTTCACGGCTCTAGACACGGACGAGGTGACGGAGGCGTCGACAACAGCGAAGTTTTCGACTTTCTACTTATATTGTCAATTATTTCTTGTTTCTCTTAGAATGGCTTGGTGGACGCACTCGAGTTCCTCGGCACAATGGCCATGATGTCAGCCATGTCCATCCCACAAAAACTCACGTGTACGTCACCGAAGCTTGAATTTGAAATTATCTAACTGAAAATTACCTACAGTTGTGTACAATTGCTACGACTTCAATGAAACGGGACAACTGTCGCTGGATGAACTCACATTGGCGTTCAAATCGACACTGACTGGACTGTGTAAACTCTGCGTGGGTCTGTCATGTCCAACAGAGCTTGTACTGGAAGATCTGGCACAGCACGCTTTCCAGAAGGCTCAAAAGCCCGGTCTAGATGGGTTTATATCGCTACCCGAGTTCTTACACTTCGCTGATACTACACCAGAAGTGACTTCATGGGTGGACTACTTTGACTGTCCAGAAGAGACTGTAGACGAACAGGACGGAGACGACAGTGATGCAGAACGAGAGGCTGCTGCAGGGCTGTTGGTGCCTTCCGCTCTGGATGATGAAGACACAGCGAGGAAGAGAGACGCGAGTCTACCACAAGACGCAACAGCTCCAGACTTGACGGTGTACAAGACGATACCACGACGTCCGTGGCAATTGGCAGTGGCGAATGCGACGCCCAGTGCTCCGCCCCCGATCGACCCACGGATGCCAGCCGCCAGTCTGGAGCTCGAGTGGGTCTACGGCTACAACAGTGATCTCCGCAACATCGTTCACTATGTGTCACCAGCTGAGGCGATTTATCCTGCAGGAAGCGTGATCGTTGTGTATGATAGTGTCGCCCATCGACAGCGCTTCGCTTGTCATCACTCTGGACTGGTACAGACATTGGCAGTGCATCCAGCTGATCGGCGCGTGATCGCTACGGGTGAAGCTGCGTTGATACCGAAGATCGTGATTTGGTCTACACAGACGCTAAGCGAGAGTGGAGCAGGAGGCGGGGGCGGCGTACTGAGCGTTCTTCGCGGCTTCCATCGACGTGGTGTGTCACATTTGGCGTGGATGCCTAATGGGCGAACACTCGTGACTGTCGGTCAAGATGAATTCCACTGCGTTGCGGTGTATCAATGGGAGAAAGCGATAGCAACTGAAGGAAGTGGAGGAAATAGTGACTTCGCGGACTGGAGTAAACCAGCAGAGCTCATCTTTGCAGGACGTGGAGGTCGGGAGCCCGTTCACGCTTTGACAGTCTTGAATGGGCCGTCAGGTCAAACTCAGTTTGTGACGGGAGGACGACGTCATTTGTTCTTTTGGACAGGTGAGCGAGATGCACGATACTCCAGTCCTCACGCATTATTCGCACGACTTCCAGGTGTTCTAGGACGCAAGGCAAAGGTGCAGACAATCCTGAGTTTGGTGGCTTTACCGGGTGATTCTGGCGCTATAGCAGGCACAGCTCGAGGACAGTTATTGCTATTCGAAGGACGGAACTGTGTGCGTGTATTATACGCACACGCAGCAGCAGTGACAGCGCTGTTTGCATTCACAGGCGGCGTTCTCAGTGGCGGTAAAGACGGGAAAGTTCGCATTTGGAGTCGACGCTTGGAACCTGGAGCTCAGTTTGATTTAGTGGCGCTAGGAAGCTCTTCGCCTCGTGTACGCAGCCTCGTGGCTTCTCCAGATGGAGGAGCCAAGTTGTTGATCGCCACTGCAGGCGCCGAGATCTTCGAGATCGCATCGAGTGATGGTTCCAACCTGCACTTTGGTCCTGTTGTCTGTGGCCACTCGGCCTTCCAGCTTCATGGGCTTGCAATGCATCCGCTACGACGTGAATGTTGCTCGGTGGGGGATGATCGCACTGTGCGTATCTGGGACTTGTCAACGCACCGTCAGCTTCGCGTCTCGGCTCTGGACGCTCCTTCTCGAGCATGTGCGTACTCACCGGATGGCTCAATTATCGCTGTGGGTCAAGGTGCTGAAGAAGAATACGAAGAGAGTTCAGCGACAACTGACCCCGATTTATCGGCGTGGCGTCGACGACAGCAACCTAAACTGGTGAACCCGAACAAGCAAGGAGCCTTCGCAGTGTTGAACGAGTCTTCACTGGCCGTGAAATTCGAGGCCAAAGACTCAAAAAGACCCATTGGAACGCTGCGATTCACCGGTGATGGACTTACGTTGGCTGTGGGGTCCAGTGACAACTGCATCTACTCGTATCACACGGAAGATTGGGCTTCTAAGGGCAAATGTCGTGCACGAGATGCGGGTGTTGTCATCAACACGTTCGACTTTTCAACAACTGGTGAACATATCATGGCGAACGCTCGAAACCGAGGCGAAATGGTGTTTTTCGAGAGCTCTTCAGGCGTGGAAATCACGCGTATAGCCACGTTGAAGGACGTCGAGTGGCTGTCGTGCTCGTGTCCGTATGGATGGGGCGTTCAAGGCACGTGGCCTACGCGTAAGACAGAAGCTTACGAGATATCGGCGGTTGATCGTTCATCTGGAGCCGAGACGCCCATGCTCGTTACAGGAGACACACTTGGCTCTCTGCGTTTGTTTCGGTATCCGTGTGTGAATCCAGAGTCACTGTGTCAAGTCGCAAGAGGAGCGGCTAGTACTATCTCAGCTGTACGCTTTACTGCAGACGGAAGCCACGTCGTAGCGAGTGCACGAGATGAACGCTGTATCTTCCAGTGGCGTGTCGAGCGTGAAGAGATCGATGCTGACGGTGGAACAGGTGACGCTGAGGACGTTCCAGGAACCTCAGACGACGAACGAGAAGTCAGTCACGGGAACGAGCGCTCAGCTTTCGACGAGGCCGTAGCTGTGGGAGATTTTGCGCTTGAGCTACTGGCTGAAAGACTGCAGGATCAAGCGCACAACGAGGAAGACGAACAAGACGAGAACGGAGAAGAACCAGCCAAGGCTACACCGGCTGTAATAACACCATCGAAGCCTTGGGTTAGCAGTAGTGTACCGCCTTCTGAGGCTCCGAATGAAGCAGATTTGGAGCTTTCAACTGTGCCCAGGGACAGTTTAGAACTGGAATGGGTCTATGGCTATCGCTGTCACGATGCTCGCAACAATCTGTTCCTCACACGCGCTAAGAGTTTAATGGTCTACCCTGCTGCAAATATCGTCGTAGTACTGGACACTAAGCTCTGGTTGCAGCGCCACTTCAAGCAACACTCAGACGAAGTCACGAGCCTCGCTGTATATCTTGGACCAAGTGGCAAGTCGAGTGCGTCTCAAGAGATCGCGGCTTCGGGACAAATGGGGCGTCTTCCTGTCATTCACGTGTGGCGGATCGACTCGCTCGAAGTGTTAGTGTCTCTGCGTGGCTTCCATCGTCACGGAATTGCCGAGTTACGCTTCAATTCTACTGGAAACTTACTGGCGAGTGTGGGTCTGGATGATCGGAACTCACTCGCGCTGTACGACTGGCGCAGTGGGGAGCTACTAGCTCATGCAAGTACGTCATCGGTGGGTCGCATTCTCGGCTTGAGTTTCCAACAGGAAATTGTAATTAAAGGAGCAGCAGTCACAACACCAGAGGACTTGGTGAACCCCTCGGAATCTCCAATGGCTCCCGTTGTGATCGCAACTGTGGGCGTGAAGACTGCAGCTTTCTGGCGTCTTGCAGCAGGCCGGACTCTTGTTAAGAAGGACGCTTTATTAGGACGTAAAGGTCGACAAGGAGGCGCTCCACCGTCGTTTTTGAGTGTTGTTTACTGCGGTAAGGATGCAGTGGCAGGCACAGTTAGTGGAGATTTATTTCACTTCAAAGGAACTGAGCTCTCCAGTATTGTACCAGCGCATACACGAGGCGTGGCAGCGTTGTACAGTTCGACTGGAGCTACCGGAGGGATCGCAAGTGGCGGACAAGATGGTCTCGTGAAGCTATGGAGCGCGGACTTGGAGTGTTTGGCCGAGTTCGGGGAGTTCAATTCAGCACACTACGCGATCCGCAGCGTCTTCTGGGACACCACTAAGGAGATGCTACTGGTAGGCACACGAGGCAGCAGCATTTACCTTCTTTCGTCGCTCGATGGCACTCAAATCGGTCTTAAAACTCCTGACGGTACGCCAGTGACATCACTGGAGAACCATACACGCGGTGAGCTGCATGGTCTGAGCGTCTGCTACGCTAAAACTCGAGGATGTACGACTGGAGACGACGGAGTGCTCCGTATTTGGGACTTGAATCACCATCTCTTGATACTGTCGAACAAACTGGAGACGAGTAGCCGTGCGTGTGCGTATTCTCCGGATGGAGATTTCATTGCTGTTGGCTTGGGTAGCGGCGGAACTGGAAGACGACACAAGAAAGACGGCAGTATGTTGGTGTTTGAAGACCGTGGACAAAGTGTCGAGCTCGTGTACGAGACTCGAGATACCAAACAATCTGTGACGGTGTTACGCTTCTCCCCTGACGGTCAGTCACTCGTATGTGGAGCAATGGATGGCTCTGTGTACATCTACGACGTCCCCAGCAACTACACGAAGCGAGCGGTTTTCTCCAAACATAAGGCACCGATCACACACATCGATCTGGCTGGCGACTCGCAGTATTTACGCAGCAACTGCAAAGGCTTTGAGTTGTTTTTCGCCGACGTCACTACTGGTTCTCATGTGGCGAGTGCTACAGCTCTTCGCAATCATATCTGGGATACCTGCAGTACCATTTACAACTGGTCTAACCAAGGAATCTGGCCCGTGGCACCCAATGGACTGGACGCAATGCAAGAGATCACGTGTTGCGCATGTTCGCTGCCTGGAGCGCCGTACAAAGGCAGCAATGCCATCCTTGCCGCTGGGAATTCTCATGGAGTGATTAGTGTATTGAAGTACCCGAGTTTTGTACAAGGAGCTGGAGCCAAGACGTACCATGGACACAGCGGTGCTGTTGCTCAATTAGGTTTCTCAGGACCTGGTGGAGCGCTCTGTGTCAGTATCGGTCGCTCAGATCGGTGCATGCTTCAGTGGCGACGACTGTATGGTGCCGGTAGTGGACCTGAAACAGTAGTGAATGGTAACGCGAGTATTGCGAAAGATCCTGAAGAGGATCCAGATCTGGAAGCTGAGGGACGATTCCTGCCCGAGGCCTTCGTTAACGTCGGTGGAGGTGCTCAGAGCGACATGACGCCGTTCGTGAGTGCGCTATTGCCACCGTCTGGTGTCGTACAGGAACCGAGCGAGGCGGACGGAGTCGCTAAACACCGAACATTCGAGTTGGAACACGTCTTTGGTTTGCGTACACACGATGCTAGACAAAATGTTGTATACGCTCGACCGAAGCGGATCGTGTACCCGACTGGGTGTGTTGGCGTGAGTTATGACCGACGAGAACATCAACAGCAGTTCTATACGGGACATACACGTCCCATCTTGTGTATGGCAATGTCGCCTTGTGGTGGATTTGTAGCTTCAGGAGAGATTTGTGCCCAGAACTTCGCGCATGAGAGACCACGCATCCACGTGTGGGAACCTGCTACTTGCACTCGGGTCGTAGAGCTCAGCGCCTTTCACAGTAAGGCTGTGACTGCTGTCTGCTTCAGTTCACCCGATGGCAAGCTTCTGGCTGCCGTGGGTCAGGATGAATTCCATTCACTAGCTGTGTATCGCTCAGCCTCTGGGCAATGGTTTGACGGCGCGTTGTTTGCCAGCTCTCGTTCTACTCGCCACGCTGTGTTCTTTTTGTGTTTCATCGAGGATCCGCAGAGTGCAGGAGGCTGTCGCTTGGTGTCCGGAGGAGAAGAACACGTTCTGTTCTGGAAAATGACGCCACCTGCGCTCACAGCACGGGACGGGATCTTTGGTGCTCGAGCGCAGCGACAGCCAATACTATGCGGTGCCTCGATGGGTGGACTTGTAGTCACAGGCTGCGCTTCTGGTCATCTGTACACTTGGGAGGCCTGTGCTGTCGCGCGAGTGATTCCAGCGCATACAGGAAGCGTCTACGCCATACACACCACGTCTTTGGGCTGCGCTACGGGAGGACGTGACGGACACGTGAAGCTGTGGGCGCGCACGACATTGACTCCTCTAGCTGACTTCGACGTTGCAGGTTTCCACCCAGCGCCACATAGCGCAGCGGTGCGCTCTCTTTATTGGGATGTAGCGGAAGATCGCTTGCTTATCGGGACGAAAGGTGCCGAGTTGTTCGAGTTATCTCGACTCACGGGAGACGCGATTCTCGTGTCGGAGAGCCATTTCGACCGCACGGTTCAGCTTCAGGGACTCGCAGTACATCCACTACGACCAGAATTAATAGTCACAGCTGGAGGCGATCACACGGTGCGTCTGTGGCATTTAGAAAAGCGCTGCGTGATCGCAAAGACTGCGCTGGATGGGGCTCTACAGAGCGTGGCGTTCTCTCCGGACGGCAAGTGGCTCGCAGTAGGTTTTGGTGGATCGGAGAGTAGCAAGAATCACAAAGATGGAGCCTTCGCCGTGCTTGATGGTCAGACCCTTGAACTGCTACACGAAGGACGAGATAGTAAGCTTGGTGCACTGGACATGACGTTCTCGCCGGACTTGACGCTGCTGGCGTTAGCTTCAGCCGATCACTGCGTGTACTTCTACTCGACGCTAGACAATTTCTCGCTGCGTTTCAAGTTCTCCAAGCCCAGCGGTCGTGCCACTCGCTTGGATTTTGCAGCCGATAGCAGCATGGCAAGAGTGTCGAGCGATGCGTTCGAGCTTCTGTTCGTAAGCACGATGGACGGCAGCCAGATCACTTCGCCTGCTAGTGCGGCGGACGTCACATGGGCGTCACACAAGTGTTTGTTTGCGTGGGATGCCCAGGGTGTCTGGGACATCGCTGGCAAGCCAGACGACCACGTCCACGCTCTGGCAAAGGCGAACACGCAGGAGATGCTGGTTGCAGCTACCAACCAGGGCGAGATCCGCGTGTACAACACGCCGTGTCTGTCCAGACACACGGAGCAGCACAAACTACATGGCCACAGTCTGAACGTGGCCAACGTAGCCTTCACTTGCGACGACACGAGGTTGGTCTCTATTGGTGCCAATGACAAAAGTCTGTTCGTATGGAAAGTAACAAAGACAAAACTATGACAATTTCAACCACTTCAACAGGTTAGCCAATTACAAATCAGTATTCAAACGAAAAAAAAAACGTAAAAAAATGTTACCAAGCATTAAAAAAAAAATGTTACACTTGCGGCGTGCAAGTATTTGCGCAGAGGAGTAGCTATAGTCACTGCTAGGTGACAAATAGAACGAAGCCTACGAGTGTTAGTTTAGTGAGGAAGGCTGCTTAGCAGAGCGTATATTCCAGAATGAAAGCTTTCTGTGTTGCTACATTACTTGGCGTATCACCTGTCTCTCCTTCTCTCACCTTTCTCACACATGAACCACACAGTTAGCAAAAACCCTTTTGGGACAAAAGCCGGTGGCACAAAACCCATTCGGGACCAAAAAGCTAACCTCCATAGAGAGCGTCAACCTGTGAACCAGTACATCGCAACAGCCCCACCTACTGGTTGACATTGTTAGGCGCTCTTTCTTCAAATTCACTGCGTGACATCAATCCCATTGCTGCTCTGTGCTTCTGGAATGCTGGGCGAGCAAGCGGTTTTGTGAAAGCATCTGCAATATTATCGGTGCTGGCCACACGCTCCACATCAATCTGCTTCAACTCGATGCGTTCACGGACGAAATGATGACGGACGTCGATATGTTTCGATCTGCTGTGAAACTGGGGGTTCTTTGCCAGTTTCTTGGCACTCTCGTTGTCAACATATATTTGAGAGGGATTGCGTTGCTGCACTTTCAGTTCCTTGAGCATTTGTCGAAGATGAACCACTTCTTGTACCAATAGACTCAATGCCATATACTCTGCTTCGGTCGTATGAAGTGCGGCTGTCTTTTCAGTCTGGCTGACCCATGATATTGTGCTACCGCAAAACTTCGTTATGTAGCCTGCTACAGACTTGCGATCGTCAACGCGATTGGCGAAGTCAGCATCAGCGTATGCATTTAGATGGTTGTCAAGTCTCCCACTTGCCCACTTAATACCACCCAGTCGCAAGCCCCAGTCAAATGTGTCTTTCAAATAGCGTAGTCCACGCTTTGCCGCTCTCCAGTGCATCAGGCCAGGATTGTCGAGGAGCTGACTACACTCACGAACCAAATACACCAGATCAGGACGTGTCCCTAGCATTAGATACATTAGGCTCCCAATTACGGCACGATATGGTTTCGTCTTCATAAGCTCTTTTTCATCAGTGTCAGTGGGACACATTGTCTTAGAGAGCTTCAGATCCGCAGTACTAGGAGTCTTACACCCATTGCACTCGCTCATATGAAAGCGCTCCAGCACAGTCAACGCGTACTTGCGCTGACTCACAAACACGGTGCGATCCTGTCGATTGCGGGTAATCTCCCAGCCGAGGATGTAATGTAATTCTCCAAGATCCTTCATTTTGAACCGGGCATCAAGCATATCTTTTAGCATCTGAATCATTACCAAACTCGGCGTGAACGTAATGAAGTCACTCTTCTGGTTTGTGATGTGATTTGTGCAGCCAGAATCCAAATACCATCTTTTATAAGCTATGTTTTCCACTCTCCGTTGAAGACAATCACCAGCAACATAAGCATTATCACTTTCTTCACCAAAATAATTACCCTGAGAACTACTGCCCTTCGCATTGCCACTCTTAACTTGCTGACCACCACCAACTTTGCTGCGCTTTCCAGGCTGTTCCACTCTAGAACGCTCGCTTGGTGGCCGCTTGCCCAAGTATGGACAATCTCGAACTTGGTGGCCTTGTTCGTTGCAGTGATAGCAGTTCCCTAGGGGTTGCTGCTGGGTACCTCTGCCTTGTCCTCCTCGTCCACGTCCTCTTCCAGTACTTCCACCACGACCGCCTGAGCCACGTCCACCAGAACCACCACGTCGTCCAGGGCTACAGCGACCTCCTGGTCCACCACGTCCACGACCACGTCCGCGGCCTCGCCCGCGACCACGACCTCCACCAGACATATAAGCCTTATCTTCATCATCTACTTTGCCACTCTCCGTTTTACGACCTTGACGGCGATCATATGCGACCTCGAGAGCATGCTCCAACTGCTCATAATTCGGTGGTTCATTGGTGTCTTGCGGTGTATGACTAGTAAGAAACGTTTCTACCACGTTATCATACTCAGGAGGTAGTGATCCAATAAGTAACGCCGGTTTTTCATAGTCATCCAATGGTTTTCCGAGTACGGCAATGTGCTCCATTAGCCGGCGTATGTGAAACTTGGTCACCCAGGACGGAATGTGTTCAACGCACTGTTCCGACACGTAGATTGGCCCTTAGCAAATGTGGACTTGCGTGTTGATGAGAAGTTTCACTGTGAGTCATGTGTGAAAGGCAAACTAGCGCGAAAAAGCTTTCACACCGTCAACACTTCGGATCATGAGTGGTTAGTTGGTGAATTTGTGCACGTGGACGTATGGGGACCATATGCCATCGCATCCTATTCGGGTAAGCAATATTTCGCCCTCTTTGTTGATGAAGCAAGTCGATTTTCGACTCTATTTCTGCTGGAAGAGCGCTCTGAGATCTATGCCAAGTTTGAGTTGCTCTATGGGTATGTGAAGACTCAACTCAAAGTGCGTATGAAGAAATTACGGTGTGATAACGCACGCGAATTGACTTCACTTTGCAGAAGATGTGAAAAGAAGCACGGAATGGAGTGTTCGCTTACTGTGAAGCATACACCTGAGCAAAACGGCATAGCGGAGCGGATGATAAGGACTGTAACTGAACGAATGCGTTGTCTGCTGGCACATTTTCAGCTACCTCAGGAGTTGTGGGCGGAGGCAGCCGTGACCGCGGCATACTACGTTAATATTGTACCAAATGCCGCCAAAGGTATGCAGGTGCCGTTTGCCGTGTGGCATCGAGAGACACCAGAATACTCGCGGTTGAGAACGTTCGGGTGTGCTGTTCTGGCTTATGTCGACAAAGTTGAGAGGAAAAAGATGGAACCTAAAGCTCGTGAAGCGATTTTCGTTGGCTACAGTCGAGAACAGCGTGGTTACCGCTTGCTAGATAGCAAGACAAACAAAGTGTTTTACAGTCACACGGCTGTCTTCTACGAGAGTAAGCCTGGACGCGTCTTTACTGACCAAAATCATCCTGAAGCGT